CCTTCCTTCCTTCCTTCCTTCCTTCCTTCCTTCCTTTCTTTTTCTTTCTTTCTTTCTTCTTCTTCTTTTTCTTTCCACCCACTCTCTCTAAAAATCAATGGGAAAAATATCCTTGAGTGAGGATTAACAAACAAATNCAAAGGAAAAAATAAAAAATTTAAATAATAAAATGACTATTGTCTTTTAATTGAAGAATTTTATTTTTTTTTAATCCTCATCTGAGGATATTTTTTCCATTGCTTTTCAGAGAGAATGGAAGAGAGAGAGAAACATTGATGTGAGAGAGACACATTGATTGGTTGCCCCTCGCAGATGGCTTGACTGGAGCTGGGGATTGAGCCTGCAACCAAGGTATGTGCCCTTGGCAGGAACCGAACCCAGGACCCTCCATTTTACAGGCTGATGCTTTAACCACTGAGCCAAATTGGCTAGGGCAAGAGTTGTATTTTTAAAGAAGTCTCATGGTATAATTAGAGGACCATTTGCAAGTATATTTACTAAGTGTTTATTTGATATACAGACATTTTAAAAAATGTATTGGTGCATAAATAGATTTTCAGAACTATTAGTTAAATTTCTTTCTCTTCATATTGATAAAATGTGGCTTAACTTTATTAAATAAATTTTTAAAACTTGTTATGATTTAGAATGCTCTGTTGCAGACCTGTAAGAGAAAACACACACATAAAAAAAAACAGCTAAAATATCTGAGTGTGGATTAAGTTAGGAGAACAAACTGACATTTTTCTAATCCATTCCAAGCTTCTGCTAATACAATGAAATGAATGGGTCACCACAGGAAGCATCTCTGATTCTCCTTGTCATTTGGGATTTTAGAGAAAATTCTAAAGAAGCTATGTATTTCCTTCTAACATTTTTCTTTATTTCTAACCATTTTTCAATAAGTAATTAGTGGTAACTTCTTTTGGGTTGTACAATTATAAAACTAAGAAAACTACTTAATACTTCAAAGATTTATAAGTAAATATATAATTTATGTTTAGACTAATCAAATTTTATGTTTAGTATTTAAATAGAACTATATGAGAGTGCCATTTTTATAAGGTAAAGATGTTCAATATCTATAATTCTATGTGGCTCAATCTAACATATATATGAACCACATAGCATTAAAAAAAAGAATATAGCATGTTACTTTATTCAGTGAGGGAACTTTAATTTTAGCCTTTTTTTTTTTTTTTTGGCTATTCATATTTACAACTGCCAGGTCTAGGTCTTTCCAATAGTTTAACCTTTTTATTCTCTCTTTTTTCTTTTTATCAGCTGTTGAGTAGCTAGACTTGTCCCCAAGAAGGTTAAATTTACCCTACTTTGTTATTTAGCAACAAGGTCTTGACTGGTTCTTATATGTTAATTTGGTTTGATTCTTGTCTTCCAGCTCTTTGTTCTCTACTCAACTCTTAGATAAGCGTTTGTTTCTGGTTTTCCTCCTCTCATTCTGTTCCTGGTGGGAAGGATGGTGAGGTATGATTTGAGATGGTTAATATGTCTGTCTCAGCTGTTATATAACATTCCTTGTATTTACTGGGGAAGAATTACAATAACTCAGCATCCTCTTTTCTTCAAGTCATGGTGATATTTGTATTTAGTCAATTTATTAGAACATAAAATGTCACAAACCCCCAAATTCGTGAATTGTACATTTATTATTCCATAAAGTACAATAAGTTGTAACTAAGTGTATGAAAATTAGAAAATAATAATACTCAATATTGTTTCAGATCTTGGGTTGGCTAGGCATACTCACTAAGTATTTTTGACCTACTAGTTATGAATAATGCATAATTTATATCCACACCATAGCAAAATGATAAACTGCTGTACTATAAACTTCTATAATACATCATCTATATAATGTATTGTGTGTTCACCACCCTAAGTCAAGTCTCCTTCCATCACCACTTATCCCTCCTTTATCCTCTTCTACCCCCTGACATCCTCTTTCTCTCTGGTAANCCTTTATCCTCTTCTACCCCCTGACATCCCCTTTCTCTCTGGTAATCACCATACTGTTTTTTGTCTCTAAATGTTTTTATTTGTTTGTTTGTTTGTTTTAAATTTATCTTTATTGTTGAAAGTATTACTAGTGTCCCATTTTTCACTCCCATTGACCCCCCTTTACTTTCCTCTCCCCCTCTCCCCAGACCTTCACCCCATTATTGTCTGTGTCCATGGGTTATGCATATATGCATATAAATTCTTTAGTTAATCTCTTCATGCCTGCCATCCCCCTTCCCTCCTCCCTCTGAGACAGACAGTCTGTTGCATGCTGCAATGTTNGTCAATGTCTCTGGATCTATTTAGTTTGTCAGATTCTTTTGTTCATTAGCTTCTTCTTAAAGAAGACCCTTCAACATTTCATGTAATACTGGTTTGGTGGTGATGAACTTTAGATTTTTCTTATCTGTGAAGCTCTTTATCTGATCTTCAGTTATAAGTGATAGCTTTGCTGGGTGGAATAATCTTGGTTGTAGGTTCTTACTTTTTATCACTTTGAATATTTCTTGCCACTCCTTTCTGGCCTGCAAAGCTTCTGTTGAGAAATCAGCTGACAGTCTTATGGGTGCTCCCTTGTAGGTAACTAACTGCTTTTAAGATTCTCTCTTTGTCTTTAACCTTTGGCATTTTAATTATGATGTGTCTTGGCGTGGGGCTTTTTGGATTCCTCTTGTTTGGGATTCTCTGTGCTTCCTGAAGTTGTAAGTCTGTTTCTTTCACCAGGTAGGGGAAGTTTTCTGTAATTATTTTTTCAAATAGGTTTTCAATTTCTTGCTCTCTTTCTTCTCCTGCTGGCACCCCTATAATCGAATGTTGGGCCACTTGAAGTTGTCCCAGAGACACCTTACACTATCTTTATATTTCTGGATTCTTATTTCTGGTTGGGTGTTTTTTGTTTCCTCATATTCCAAATTGCTGATTTTATTCTTGACGTCCTCTACTCTACTGTTGATTCCCTGTAAATTATTCTTCCTTTCAGTTCTTGTAGCCTTCATTTTTGACTGGTTCTTTTTTATGTCATTTACGATCTCACTAGTTTCCTTAATAGTCTTACTAAGATCCTTGAGCATCCTTATAACCATTACTTTGAACTCTATAT